GCCGCCGCACGCCGCGGTGCAGCACCGCCAGCAGCGCGCCGTGCAGCACGCCTGCACCCACACGACAACAACAACAACACCATTACACACCACACAATTACTATTTATTGGAAATTATTAAAACAGTAAACACACAAAACAAAAATGAAAAAAAATCAATATCATAAGCATCTTTACAAAATAATAAAATTGGAGCGACTCTGTGTGTAATATCGAGGAATAAATATTCACATGTCATATTTAATACGGGTGATTTGCGTTGCCGATAATAAAAAACGAATTTCAAAATTTTTGTGTATTTCTGCAAGGCCACGTTTCTTCCAGAAATTCTCCAGAACGGCTTTGACGAGAAAGTAACTGATGTCCGCGGGCATTCTATAAGCTACTTCTTTTCAAATCTGCTGACAAACTCGCAAACAATATTTAGCCTTTATAATAATGTTACCAGAGAGACAGATGAGCCTGGGATCGCCGGCGGCTGCGGGCGGCGCCTGCGCAGGTCGTAGCGGCGGCCACAGCGTGCCGGTACCGCTGGCCGAGCTGGTCCCCGCCATGCTGGCCGCGCTGCCCGCACTGCTGGGGCTGCTCGCCGCACCACCCACACCTCCCTCCGCCTTCTGCTTCTCGCGTACACTGCGAAGAGTTTACATAAAATACTGATTTTGTCAAACTATACTCAAACTTAAAAAAGGCAAAACTATTTTAGTGTATTTATCTATAAAATATCAAGACAAATAATAAAATTGAATTATCTGTATGCAATATCGAAAGAAAAAAAAATCATATTTGCGTTGCTTAAAAGGACAAGCCATTTTTTTGTCTGTATTGTCAAGTTTGTGCAAGATAATCTCCGAAACGACTGAACCTATTTTAACGAGAATTTTACAGAAAGATAGCTGATATATGCTAGAATAACTTAGGCTATTTTTTTTTTATTTTTTTTAATTTAAAGTTAACCAATTAGAAAGTATTGTCTCACTATGCGGTGAATCTGTCCATGGAGGAGTGGAAGTCCCTGCGGTGCACGGCGCGGCGCAG